TTCAACTTCTAGGATCAGATTGAGGGGCTTTTCATTTTGTTTAGTCAAGTTACCTTCTCTTTGACATTTATCACAATTTTTTGCATATTGAAGTGCATCTTTAAAAAGGGAAGGCTAGAAGAAACCTGATTGAAGAACCTTGGAGGCACTCCTGATTCCACCTAGATGTCCTCCATATGGGGACGAATGGCAGTGTTGAAGGATTTGAGGTTGTTCTTCTTCTGGGACGCACCTTCTTATCATTTGGTCTGCGCATCTTCTGAACAGTAGTGGTTCGTCCCAGAGGTAGTTCCTGCAATCGTGAAAAATTTCGTCTTCTGCATTTTATTCGCCTCATAAGGTTTCAGCCCTGCTGCAAGTAAGTTGGCTATATCAGCAAACCAAGGAGCATTTGTCTCTATGTGATTAATGACAAGCAATTGTTTGTCAGGGAACGTTTCCTTGATTGGTAGCCCCACTTCAATGTGTTCCAATCTGGACAGATGATCTGCAATTTGATTTTCACATCCTTTACTTTCTTTGATCTCCAGATTGAACTCTTGCAGCAGTAGGACCCATCTTATCAATCTTGGTTTTGCTTCCTTTTTCTAGAAGAGGTACTTGAGAGCTGCATGGTCAGTATGGACAGTAACTTTTGATCCTAAAATGTAAGGCCTGAATTTTTCACAAGCATATACTACAGCCAATAGCTCCTTTTCAGTGACTGTGTAGTTCACCTGAGCTTCATTTAGAGTTTTAGTGGCGTAATATACACTACGAAAAAGTTTGTCCTTCCTCTGGCCCAGAACTACCCCAATAGCATGATCACTTGCCTCGCACATTAGTTCAAAGGGTAAGTTCCAGTCTGGAGGTTGGATGACAGGCGTGGTGATGAGCTTATTTTTCAAAGATTCAAAAGCTTTCACACAATCAGAGTTAAACTCAAATTTTATATCTTTTTCTATTAAGTGGCACAAAGGTCTAGCTATTTTGGAAAAATATTTAACAAACCTTCTGTAAAAGCCTGCATGCCCTAAAAAAGATCTCAAGGTTTTTACACTTACCGGTGGCGGCATTTTTGCTATAGCTTCTACTTTGGCTTGATCCACTTCCAGTCCTTCTCTGGAAATCTTGTGTCCCAGGACTATTCCTTCTTTCACCATGAAGTGGCATTTTTCCCAATTAAGCACTAGATTAGAAGACAGACACCTTTGAAAGACTTCTTCTAAGTTGTCCAAGCAGTGATCGTATGACGTTCCCAGTACTGAAAAATCATCCATAAAGACTTCTACTCCTTCACCTATTAGATCAGAAAAGATTGAGAACATACACCTCTGGAACGTTGCTGGTGCATTACATAACCCGAAGGGCATCCTTCTGAAAGCGAACATTCCATATGGGCAGGTGAAGGTGGTTTTATGTTGATCTTCTAGTGCAAATGCAATTTGATTATACCCCGAATATCCATCAAGGAAGCAGAAGTATTCTTTTCCTGCTAGGTGGTCCAGCATCTGATCTGTAAAAGGGAGTGGGAAATGGTCCTTCCTGGTGGCATTGTTGAGCTTCCTGTAATCTTGGCAGATTCTCCATCATGTAACCTTTCTTATAGGTATCAGCTCATTCTTTTCATTCTTCTCCACTGTTATGCCTCCCTTTTTGGGGACGCATTGGACAGGACTTACCCAACTACTGTCAGATATTGGGTATATGATCCCTGCATCCAGCCATTTGATGACTTCCTTTCTCACCACTTCTTTCATTATAGGGTTCAATCTTCTTTGGTGTTCCACTGAAAAACTATTAGGATCAGTCAATAATATTTTATGCATACAGAATGAGGGACTGATAACTTTGAGATCAGCTATGGTCCAACCGATGGCTCCTTGATACTTTTTGAGCTTGTCAAGCAACAGTTCTTCTTGTTCCTTGGTAAGAAATGAAGAAATGATCACAAGAAGGGTGTTGTTGTTCCCCAGATATGCATACTTCAGATGTTGGGGAAGGGGTTTTAGTTCTAAATCAGGAGGTTTTTCTGAAGAAGGTCTTTTGAGCTGCTTCTCCTTTTCAGTTCTTATCAAAGGTTCAGGCCTTCTTTCTTGCAGATAGCAACTCTGCTCTTCCTATTGTGGATCTTCTTCTTCTTCTTCCTCTGTTTTTCTGCTAGGCTGATTGTCTAACAAAGTGAGAGCAGAACCTTCTTCCAAGTCTTCTCCTTCATCCTGGAACTTTATTGCTTTGACAATATTGAACTTGATCTCATCGTCATGAACTCTCATGGTTAGTTCCCTTTTTTGTACATTGATAACTGCTCCTCCAGTTTCTAGGAATGGTCTACCCATAATGATGGGAACGTCAACGTCAGCTTCATAATCCAGAATGATGAAGTCGGTGGGTAAGATAAATTTGTCTACTTTGACTAGCAGATTTTCAATCTTCCCTTTTGGCTTGACGATGGATCTGTCTGCCATTTGCAAAGTCACTGTGGTGGGTTTAGCTGGTCCAGTGGATAATTGTTTGAAGACAGATAGGGGCATGAGATTGATGCTGGCCCCTAAATCACACAAGGTTTTCCCTTGGTACGTGTCTCCTATAATGCAAGGAATGGTTAAGCTTCCTGGGTCTTGAAGCTTAGGTGGGAGTCTGCCTAAGTACTGGCAACTCTCTTGTGTCATTTTTACAGTCTCATATTCTGTTATTCTTCTTTTTTTTGAGAGGACATCTTTCATGAATTTTGCGTACCTGGGCATCTGTTCTAGTGCGTCCACCAGAGGAATGTCGATGTGAAGTTGTTTTAAAATGTCCAGGAACTTTCCAAAGTGCTTATCCTCCTGTTGCTTTTTTGTTCTTTGAGGGAACGAAATTTTTGTTGATATTTGCCTGCTTTGAGTTGGACTGATTGGTTGGCTGTTGGCTTCCTTTTCAGGTTCTGGGTTCTGTTCATCTGTGACTGGTGATTGTTGCTGTGCTTTTGGGGCTGCTTCAGATTCTTTAGTCTGTTCATTTTCCTTTGGTTGAACTGTGGGCTGTGCTGTGGCTTTCCCACTTCTTAAGGTGACAACTTTGATTTGCTCTGAAGGGGAGATATGTGCTACTTTTGGCGAGGTTGTTGAAGGAATGTCAGTATTCCCTGCTAGTGATCCTTGTGTTCTAGTTTGAAGGTTGGCATCAATCTGCCCCAGATGGGACTCAATGTTCCTGACCACTGCATCATTCCTGGTGACATATTCCTTGACATAATTTTCCAGGGTGTTGATGTGTTGGTCATCTCTGTGGAACGGAACGTAGTTGTTTCTTCTTTGTTCAAATGTTCCACTGCTGCTACCTTGCTGATACTGCTGCTGATTGTTGTTGAATGGTCTCTGGTTAATGGGTGGCCTCCATTGGGTGTTATGGTTCTGATCCTTAATGATAGTTCCTCCAGGGCTTGAATGTGTATTTCGTCCTGCTTGTTGATTGTCTCTGGTGAAGTTCCTATTGCCAAAATTTTCTGCATAACACACCAATGCAGTGGATGGGCAGTCTGTTGAGTCATGAAGGTCACCACAGGCTGAGCATGGGTCTGTTTCAGTTGCTGTGAGTTGTAAGACTTCCATCCTTGGTGCTGCTTGGTCAGCTCTCAGGTTCTTCACTTCATTCATGAGTGATGCCAGCTGGGCTTCCATGGTTGTTTGTTTATCCAGTTCTAGCATGCCTGTCTTCCTCACTGGGCTCACTCTGTCTATTGGCCATTGGAGACATCTTTCAGCAGTCCCTTCTATGATTTCGTACCTTGATTCAAGTGTTCCTGTAAAGAAATATCCTCCTGCAGCAAAATCTAGGTGAGATTGAGAAGTATGGTCAAGTCCCTTATAGAAAGATTGTAACACTCCCCAACTCTCTACCCCATGGTTTGGACATTTTCTTATGATGTCCTTGTATCTCTCCCATGCTTCATAGAGATTTTCTCCATAAAACATTCTGAAGTTAGAGATTTTAACTGTAACTTCAGCTTGTCGAGACATTGGGAGAAACCTCTCTATGAACTTGTTAGAGAGTTCTTCACATGTGTGGATTGATCCAGGGGTGAGAGTTTTCATCCATGTTTTAGCTTTTAAGCCCAAGGAGTGAGGGAACAACCTCATTCTCATGCTCTCCTCTGTTACACCCTCAGCTTTAAAATTATCACAAATATCTTGGAATGTTGTGAGGTGTGTGTAAGGATCTTCTGCAGGGAGTCCATTGAAGACCCCTGCTTCCCTAATCATATGGAACATGATAGGTTTTAGTTCAAAATTTGGTGCTACAGGGGGAAGGATTACTCCCCTATCTGGTCTGTTCCTGAAAGGAGCAGCCAAAGTTCTGAAGTTCTGTTCAGGGGGAACCTCTTCATTGTTATTATTGTGATCATCCATGTTTTCAGGAAATTCTTCCATGAGGTTCCTTCTTCTCCTATGGAGTGTACGTTCTGGCTCAGGATCAAAGAGAAACTCAGGTACTTCAATGGAGTGGTCAGAGTCTGTTTCAAACTCTTCACTCATAAACCAATAGCACAGAGTATATATACGCACAGCAGATTCAGCGATAAAGAGAAAAAAATATAAAAGTAAAGTCAGATATACAGTATATGTGTTAGAAAACAATGATAAGAACAATAGTTAGTGTTTCTATCCCCGGCAACGGCGCCAAAAACTTGTTGGGTGATTTGCTGATGGTGGAAAAATATAAGTTCTGATAGGGGACGTTCCTCTGTTCTTGCAGAACACAGATTCGTCAATTAGTTCCAACCCAAGTGCGCAAGTGCACGCATCAAGTAATAAATGGAGTATTAATGCCCAAATTATCGTTCCCATGAGGATAGAGTGCTAACTATTGTTTTATCACTGTTTATAAAGAATGAAAATGAGAAGAAAAGTTAGTAAATGAACTGTCTGGTCAAACGTTCCCTACTGTCTTGACAACGTTCCTCAGCAACAGTAGGTTCAATCTGATGGCAAACAGTTGCTCGCTGCGTTATGTATGTGATCCTTCCTGTTTAGAAGAAGGTGAGATAATAATCATTGGAGTTTTTATAAGTACTAAATAAAATAAAATAAAAACTACTAAAACAGAAATAACTATAATCAAGAGACAACATGGTTGTGGTTAAAACAGTTTAACAGAAGGAACGGATTCACTGCTTCACTCTTAAAGGGGTTGTTTTCTCTGCTCAAGACTTAGCACCTTTTGGCTTTGTCCCAGTTTCTTTGCCTGCCAACTCTGATTGCTCAGCTCATGGTCTAGATGGCTCACAAGTTTCCATATTCCTATGGCTCCCTTGACTCCAATAGGTACTTAGTTCAGAACCTTAAAATGGACGAGTTGGCCCCTTATTCCAAAGGTGACCAGTAGCATTTTTGCCATGACATCTACCTTCCCCCAATGGCTAAGCTGTCTGAAATCCCTTCCTTATGGAAGTTCCTTTCTCAGTGTGTACCCAATTTCCATTGGCGCACAATGAATATAACTTACTTAGCCAAAGAAATACAAAAAGCTTCGGTCAAGAGTTTTGAAAACAGTTCTTTAAGAGTTTCACAGTTTACCCGTTCCACAGATAGTTCAGCTCATGGCTGATAGTTTAAACATAATTATTCTCAACTGAGATCACATAGACCCGAGATTCAGTCAAAAGATAACGATTGGAACGAAGAGAAAAACACTTATATTAATTTAAAAGAGTTTACAAAAAGAAACAGAAAATGGAGAAAGATGGGTATTTGCTCGTTAGGAGTCTTGATGGTTGTTTACAGAGAAGAGAAGAGGGGTTGTCACTTAACTACAGTTACAACTTAAAATTAGACTAAGTTACTAACTACTACTAAGTGATCTCTTCCTTTCGGACTGCAAACCCTCCAGGATCCGATGATGTTTTTGTGTGAGGGTGGTCTTATTTATAGCTGGAAGAGGAGTGGCAAGCCTGTAATTCCTTTGGAGCTAGTTGCTTGAATGAGGGGACGGGACTGTGGCAGCAGAGTGTGAAGCTTGCGTGAATTGCTGGATGGAACAGGATTTGGTGATGATTAGCCGTTGTTTGCAGACCTTCCCATGCTTTGCTTTTGTTTTCAGCCAATGAGAACTCTTGATTCTCTGCTCTTCACGTTTCCAGCTGCTCAGTTGGTGCATCGCCTTGCTTTGTAGATGTCTTTAACTCTACGTTACTTGCAAAGTGTACAAAAGCATTAAATGAATGGAAAGGTGCATTAAATGTGTCTCAGTTTGTTCCCCTTTTAATATATTTTAAAGGAATACGTTACCATCTGTTCCCCCACAGTGTTTATGTCACAAATGTGTAAAACAAGTGATTTTCATTATGAAGTTGCTCATCAGATGAAGGAACGTATGGTATTTTGCCATCAAAATGGGCTTAGATGGGAACGAATTTACGTCCCATCAGTTTCCACAAGGATTGTGATCGTTTATCAATTAATATTCCTTTCAAGAATGGAAGAGTTCAAAAGGGTTTGTTTGTGACAAATAATGTCAATTTGAGTAAAATTAAAAGTAAAGACTTGTTTTTGTATTTTTATATTGAAGAATAAAAATAAGAATAAGAATGAATTGATTTGTAAAAAAGGAGAAAAGCATTGTAGCTAGGATACACTCACCATATGATCCCCACTCCTTACTCTGGATTGATTTACAATATTCATTTATAAAATTACTCGGATAAATTATTATCTAAAAAATATTAATAGTTAACCCTCAATTCCTTGCAAGGTTAACCCTTTAAACCCAATTGGAACCCCAATTCCTTGCAATGTTCCTCATGGTATTAAGCAATGAACTCAATAATTTAGGCATCCACAATTCAATACACATCTATTCCTAGCATGCATACGAACCGTTATCCTACCCCCTTTCAGGACGAAAACCCCAATATTCCTATCTAGGGTTCTAACCCTCAAACTTTCCTCAACTATCAGATTGATCAATTCTAATAAAGAGAATATAAATACGCTCAGGATAGAGATAAAGACAATTTATATAAACGAGTAAAAGTAAACCAATCCGTCGTAACAAGGGTTCACATAGGGTTTGTGAACCTAACTACAATAAAAATACTAGCCAACCATAATCATGGCTAAAAATCCAATATTCAATAAAAACATAAAATTAAAAGAGAAGATGAAGAAGAACTTGATCTGCAGAATCCTCTCGGAGCACCACCGTCGTCTCACTTCAATAGAATAGGTCTGAATCCCTAATTCTGTCATTAGGATTCTATTTATAATTATCTTTTTCTTCTTCCAAAAATACCCTTCAGAAAACACGGTACTCCTTTCCCGCAAACTGGCGCCAGTTGGCGCCGGTGTGGCGCCACTCCTCTGTCCGAATGATAAACCGGTGCAATTCCCTCGGAAAGTGGAGCCAGTTGGCGCCATTGTGGCGCCACTTTACTGCCAAAAACCAATTTCCCCAAGAGTGTGGCGCTAGGTGGCTTCATGTGGCGCTAGGTAGCATGAATTTTTGGCGCTAGTTGGCGCCATTTTGGCGCCACTAGGCGCCACTTGCAATTGTCCGCTTCGCAGTTCGTAAACAGGCGCGGGTCCGCGCCAGTGTGATGCCGGTCCGTGCCATGTTGCTGGAATTTGTAGTGTGCTACACCCGTCTGGAATTGCGTTAACATGCTTTTTATAATTTTTATTTCTTTTTCCTGTAAAAACACAATCAATAGGTGAGAAATATCATTTACATAGAAGAATCAAGATAATAAGCAAATATGTATTTAAATTGCTCTTTTATTACTTAATTATTATATTTTCCAGCTTGGAAAACCGCATTTGCCAGAGGCACATCAAACCATTCCCAGATTTAAACGTTGCTGTCCCCAGCAATGTACAAGACTCAATCCAGGAAATATTCAATTAATCTAACATAACAATCCATAGACATTCTCAGACACATTATGTCATGCATGACTGACCCAATATCATAAGCTCTCAACAATGTCATCAGCTTCTTAAAAATACAAGTCTACATTGATTATCCCTCACACAGATGAATAATGTCCACTCAACACTCAGTGTTTAAGGGTATCATGAGCACTCAATCAATCACAGCTATAACACTACCATAGGCTTGATCATATTCTCAAAAATTCTTAAAAATGAAGAATCAAACACATGCAGCAATTGATCAAAAGGACTTCACAGGTTGTAACTTGGTCGGGGTAACGGGTAGGAAAATATGGATAGTAGCTCAAACAACAATGAGATTAAAAACTAATATTATTTCACTTTAACACATTCAACTCAATTGTTTTGCTCCACTAACATTCCCACAGAATTTTGGGAATTAATTCCTTTCAGCCACCTTTTAATTCACATTCACCATTTTTCTTTTTCTTGCTTTCTTTTTCTTTTTCTCCTTTTGTCTTAAGGGTTTAGATGAATTTGACATCCCCCAATTACTTGACCCTTGTGGAGTTACCTCAATTTCTTTGTCTTATTTTCAACACATCAGTGATTCAATCTCAATTAAGGTAAGTCACATGGATATAGGCTAAGCCATCAATCAGGCCACAGGTCATTTATCAACAAAAAAGTTTAGGCTCAAGGGGGCTAGCAATGGAAAAATTCATACAGATGGGTTATTTTGGCCACAAGCTAACAAGAACAAAATGTCTTTATCACTTCAACCAATGCATGCATTACGGAGAAACATATCAAGTTCTAGAGTATTACAACAGTGAGGTCTCTCAACAAGAAAATTTAGTGTTTATGCTCAAACCTCACAGCTATGGTATCAATATAGACTCAAGAAAATTGACCTCAGACATTATCAGAATTTCGTAACATCAGTTCAGACAAACGAGCAATCATGTAATCCAATTGTATCTATACAATGTTATGCCAGAAAGTCATACAATATGCTTCCAAGAATTCAGTCAAACACATTAACTAGATAAGCACATTTAAACCTGAGAATCACTATTTTTTTTTAGATAAAATTAAAGAGCACACAAAAGACTGCAAAAATAACTAAGAAAAATTAAAAGAGTTAGAATATCTTCCCTGATAGAAGAATTGCAGCTCTAAGATGCAAGCCTACCATTCCCAGATTTAGAGAATTGCTGTCCTCAGCAATAATTCAACCACAAGAAGGAAGAAAAACCTGCACAATGGAACAAATAGTGGCATATAGGATAAACTATAATGTGCACATTAAAACATCAGATAGAGATATACCAACACAAAGTAACTAAAAATACGAAATAGAAAAATAAACTAATATACAAAATCTCTGTCAGCAAGGAAATATCAATCATCCATGTCATCCCCCTCAGCAGCATGAGATGACTCAGCAAATAGAGGATCCGGTGGTACTGGATGCCTTGGTGTATGAGACCATCATTCCCAGATTTGGCCCAAACCATGAAGCCATGTTAAGAACTCTTTGAAGCATTGATTTTTTTGAGAAATAGAGTCTCAGTATCTCTTGTCAAAGACTATTCTTTTTGAGGCCTTTATTTGTCGGTGATCCGCACACATCGTCCAACCAATATCAAAAAGTTTGACCACCTCCTTTTTCAGTACCTTCTTCAGTATAGGATGACGCCTCCCTTGGGGTTTCCTCCCAGGTTTGTCATCATCTTCATTGAGAATTTTGTGGGTACGGGAAGAATGATCTTTATCTTCCAAACCAGTCTCCTGTTCCTTCAGTGCTTCAAGACTAAAACAATCGTCTTTATAAGAAGATTGTTTTATAGAATCAAAGACTTTGATAGTAACAGTCTCATCATTCATTCTTAGCTCGAGCTTCCTATTTTCAACATCAATCATTGCACGAGATGTATCTAAGAAAGGTCTACCCAGCAAAAGAGGCATCTCAGTTCCCCCTTCCATGTCCAACACCACAAAATCAGCAGGGAAGATGAACTTGTCCACTTTAACAAGAACATCTTCAATAATACCACTAGGCTTCCTTAAAGACTTATCAGCAAGTTGAAGAGATGCCAAAGTAGGCTTCAACTCGGTGATCCCCAAGGATTTACAAACAGAAAGGGGCATCAAATTAATGCTAGCCCCAAGATCGCATAATGCTCTGCCAATTTTAGTGTTCCCAATTTCAATAGGAATATTGAAACTCCCAGGATCACGAAGCTTAGGAGGAAATTTCCTTGTAATGATGGCACTGCACTCCTCAGTAAGTGCTACAGTTTGGCACTCTTGCAACTTGTGCTTCCTTGACAACAAATCCTTCATGAACTTGGCATAATTTGGCATGCTAGCCAAGGCTTCAGCAAAAGGGATATTTATATGCAACTTCTTGAAGATATCAAGAAATCTGCCATACTGTTGCTTCTGAGCATCCTTCTTGAATCTTTCAGGATAAGGTGCCATGGCTCTCACATATTCAGGACTCAGCTCAAATTTCTTCTTTTCAACTGGTTTCTCCACTTCAGCAGGTTTTCAATTTCTTTTTCTTTTTCGGGCTCACCTGCAATATCTAGCTTCTTTTCAACTTCAGGAAATGGAAGTACTTTACCGCTTCTAATTGTGATGGCCATACAATCTTCCTTCGGATTGGTAACTGTGTTACTAGGGAAGGTACCTGGAGTTCTATCAGCCATTTGTTTTGCCAGTTGGCCAATTTGATTCTCCAAATTTCTGATAGAAGCCTGTGTGTTCTTGGTATTAGCCCTTGTCTCCTCCATGAAAGCACTAGAGTGTTGAGCCATTTGTCCAACTAACCTCTCCAAATCATGAGGTTCCTTGGGTTGGATTGGTGGAGGCTGCAAGTAGTTATTTGATTGGTAATCAAGACCAGTTCCTTGCACCCTCCTCTAAAAATTATTGCTCCCAGAAGAAAAATTCTGATTCCTCGGAATATTTTGTGGTGGAGGTCTCTGATCGTACCAAATCCATTCACTTGCATTTGTTGAGGTGAATCCGAAGGCATCAAAGGACATTTGATAGGACGTAAATTCGTTCCCATCTAAGCCCATTTTGATGGCAAAATACCATACGTTCCCTCATCTGATGAGCAACTTCAGCATGAAAATCACTTGTTTTACACATTTGTGACAAAAACACAGTGAGGGAACGGATGGTAACGTATTCCTTTAAAATATATTAAAAGGGGAACGGACAGAGACGCATTTAATGCACCTGCTCCATTCATTTAATGCTTCTGTACACTTTGCAGGTAACGTAGAGTTAAAGACTTCTAAAAAGCAAGGCGGAGCACCAACTGAGCAGCTGGAAATGTGAAGAGCAGGAAATCAAGAGTTCTCATTGGCTGAAAACAGAAGCAAAACATGGGAAGGCCTGCAAACTACGACTAATCATCACTAAACCTTGTTCCATCCAGCAATTTGTTCAGCTTCCATACTCTGCTGCCACCGTCCCGTCCCCTCATTCAAGCAACTTGCTCCAAAGGATTTACAAGCTTGCCACTCTCCTTCCATCTATAAATAGGACCACCCTCATACAAAAACATCATCGGATTCTGGAGGGATTAAAGTCCAGAAGGAAGAAGATCACCTAGTAGTAGTAGTAGTCAGTAACTTAGTTTAATTTTAAGTTGTAACTGTAGTTAAGTGACAACCCCTTTTCTCTGTAAACAACCATCAAGACTCCTCATGAGCAAATACCCATCTTTCTCTATTTTCTGTTTCTTTTTGTAAGTTGTCTTTTAAATTAATATAAGTGTTTTTCTCTTCGTTCCAATCGTTATCTCTTGACTGAATCTTGGGTCTATGTGATCTCAGTTGAGAATAATTATGTTTAAACTATCAGCCATGAGCTGAACTATCTGTGGAACGGGTAAACTGTGAAACTCTTAAAGAACTGTTTTCAAAACTCTTGACCGAAGCTTTTGTATTTCTTTGGCTAAGTAAGCTATATTCATTGTGCGCCAATGGAAATTGGGTACATACTGAGAAAGGAACTTCCATAAGGAAGGGATTTCAGACAGCTTAGCCATTGGGGGAAGGTAGATGTCATGGCAAAAACGCTACTGGTCACCTTAGGAATAAGGGGCCAACTCATCCATTTTAAGGTTCTGAACTAAGTACCTGTTGGAGTCAAGGGAGCCATAGGAATATGGAAACTTGTTAGCCATCTAGACCATGAGCTGAGGAATCAGAGTTGGCAGGCAAAAAACTGGGACAAAGCCAAAAGGTGCTAAGTCTTGAGTAGAGAAAACAACCCCTTTAAGAGTGAAGCAGTGAATCCGTTCCTTCTGTTAAACTATTTTAACCACCACCCTGTTGTCTCTTGATTATAGTTATTTCTGTTTTAGTAGTTTTATTTTATTTTATTTAGTACTTATAAAAACTCCAATAATTGTTATCTCACCTTCTTCTAAACAGGAAGGATCACATACATAACGCAGCGAGCAACTGTTTGCCATTAGATTGAACCTACTGTTCCTGAGGAACGTTGTCAAGACAGTAGGGAACGTTTGACCCGACAGTTCATTTACTAACTTTTCTTCTCATTTTCACTCTTTATAAACAGTGATAAAACAATAATTAGCACTATTTCCTCGTGGGAATGATAATTTGGGCATTAATACTCCCTTTTATTACTTGATGCGTGCACTTGCGCACTTGGGTTGGAACTAAGGGACGAATCTGTGTTCTGCAAGAACAGAGGAACGTCCCCTATCAGAACTTATATTTTCCACCATCAGCAAACCACCCAACAACATTCATTAGATTCATGATTTCCCTAACAATATTCACATACAGCAGCAACAGTTTGAGCCTGAACACCAGCAATATGCATCTTGTCAAGCCTTGAGGTCAAGTTTTCTATCTGCTGAGATAACAATTTGTTTTCAGCTAGCACCACATCATTACCTTCCAGCTGAAGGATACCTCTCTTAGGCTTAGATAACAACCCTTCATTTTCATTGGCAGCCATTCTTTCAATCAATTCAAGAGTATCATTTGCTCTCATTGACTTAATGCTACCACATGCTGCACCATTCAGAACCATCCGGATTTCCAGTTTACAACCGTTGAAGAAAATTCGGACCTGATCACCATTGGTCATGGGGTAATGAGGACACCTCCTCATTAGATCTTTGAACCGGTTCCAGGCTGCACACATAGTTTCACCCTCAGCTTGAGTGAAATTGGTGATATCATTCACCATTTGATTGTATCTTTCCATCGAGAAGAACTCCACAAAGAACTTGTTTGATAAATTCTCCCATGAGGGAATACTTCTCGCAGGTTGCCTCTCTAACCAATTCAAAGCTTTTCCTTTAAGAGAAAAAGGAAACAGTCTCATCCGGACTGCATCATTGGACACTTGAGGATGTTTAGTCGAGTCACAGATCATCAGGAATCTGTTTATGAACCTATGAGGGTCTTCATCATCCTCTCCACCAAACTGAGCTCTCTCCACCAGTCGAATATTATCAGACTTGAGCTCCCAATTATTGTTGCCAACTTCATGATGGACAATACTTGAATTGGGCTTGTTAAATAGTGGCGTCAGAATGGTGTCCAAGAGTGCATTGTCCGCTTCATTATTCCCTGCTATCTTGTGCGCTTTTTCAGACAAAATTCCCAACTTGTTGAATGCAAGCTTCTTCCGAGCAAGTTTCCTGTTTCTATTTTATGTTTTTGTAATCTCCAAGTCAGGTGGAAATTCTGTCTCTTTACCTCGCATACAACTCAGAAAAGGGATTAGTAGCACTGTTCAAGAATCATAGAGAAATCAAAAATAAAAAAAAAAATCAAAATCCAATCTTAAAAATCAAAATTAATTGATAAAAGAATAGCCAATCCCCGGCAACGGCGCCAAAAACTTGATGCTTCCCGGCAAGTATACTGATCGCACAAGTAATATAATAGTAAGTAAAGTTCGTCTCAACAAGGATTGTGATCGTTTATCAATTAATATTCCTTTCAAGAATGGAAGAGTTCAAAAGGGTTTGTTTGTGACAAATAATGTCAATTTGAGTAAAATTAAAAGTAAACACTTGTTTTTGTATTTTTATATTGAAGAATAAAAATAAGAATAAGAATGAATTGATTTGTAAAAAAGGAGAAAAGCATTGTAGCTAGGATACACTCACCATATGATCCTCACTCCTTACTCTGGATTGATTTACAATATTCATTTATAAAATTACTCGGATAAATTATTATCTAAAAAATATTAATAGTTAACCCTCAATTCCTTGCAAGGTTAACCCTTTAAACCCAATTGGAACCCCAATTCCTTGCAATTTTCCTCATGGTATTAAGCAATGAACTCAATAATTTAGGCATCCGCAATTCAATACACATCTATTCCTAGCATGCATACGAACCGTTATCCTACCCCCTTTCAGGATGAAAACCCCAATATTCCTATCTAGGGTTCTAACCCTCAAACTATCTTCAACTATCAGATTGATCAATTCTAATAAAGAGAATATAAATATGCTCAGGATAGAGATAAAGACAATTTATATAAACGAGTAAAAGTAAACCAATCCGTCGTAACAAGGGTTCACAGAGGGTTTGTGAACCTAACTACAATAAAAATACTAGCCAACATAATCATGGCTAAAAATCCAATATTCAATAAAAACATAAAATTAAAAGAGAAGATGAAGAAGAACTTGATCTGCAGAATCCTCTCGGAGCACCACCGTCGTCTCATTTCAATAGAATAGGTCTGAATCCCTAATTCTGTCATAAGGATCCTATTTATAATTCTCTTTTTCTTCTTCCTAAAATACCCTTCAGAAAACACGGTACTCATTTCCCGCAAACCAGTGCCAGTTGGCGCCGGTGTGG